CGGAGCTGGAAGGGACCTTGGAGGTCTTCTAGTCCAACCCCCTGCTTAGGCAGGAAACCCTACACCACTTCAAGCAAATGGCTATCCAACCTTTTCTTAAAAACTTCCAGAGTCAGAGCATTCACAACTTTTGGAGGCAACTTGTTCCACCGATGAATTGTTCTGACTGTCAGGAAATTTCTCCTTAGTTCTAGGTTGCTTCTCTCCCTGGTTCAGTTTCCACCCGTTGCTTCTTGTCCTGCCTTCAGGTGCTTTGCAGAATAGCTTGACTCCCTCTTCTTTGGGGCAGCCCTTGAGATATTGGAAGACTGCTATCATATCCTTCCTTTCTTTAGATTAGGCATGCCCCATTCCTGCAACCGGGCATCACATAATCCCAGAACACAGCCACTGTCCTACGGCAAGTGTCGATCGTGCAACTGTGGGAATACTGCAACGGTCATCAGTGTGAAAAACACAAATCGTTTTTTTTCAGTGCCACCGTAATTTCGAGAGGTCGCTAAACGAACTGTTGGAAGTGGAAAGGATGACCTGGTGTGTTTTGTTTTTTTTTTTGGTTCTGCAGGGATCGGAAACGGAAACGATTTGTGGGTCAAACGGGTCAGGAGGATAAGAAGAAGATCCGTACGGAAAGCGGCGCCTACATCAGCAGCTCCTACAAAACCAACATGTATCTTTTCAAGTTCATCCCAGGAGGGAAAAAAAGTCTTTATCTTGGGTCTTTCTTCCCCCCTCCCACATGTATTTTAATCCAGGTGGGTGGGATAAGAAACAAAATAATGGAGTTAAAACAGATAATCAGAGTTGGAAGGGACCTTGTAGGTCATCTAGTCCAACCCTCCCACCCAAGTGGGAGACCCTACACCATTTCTGACAGGTGGCAGTCCAATCTCTTCTTGAAAGTCTCAAGGGAGTTGGAGAGTTGGTGAGAGCTACTCGGGAAGACTTGCCTAAGTTGAATTTCCTATCCGGCTCCAGCTACGACAAATGGAAAAAGAGAAATAAGATTGACGAACAGGATTCTGACACGGAGGTTGATGGCAATCAGAAGAACAGGAAGAGGCAGAAAGGCCGAGGTGAGCTTTGAGAGAGAATGGAGGCGTCGAACTCTCGCCTTTGGGTTCCCAGGGGTGGCCGTCATTATCCGAAGGTGCTTTCTCAAAAGGGCAGTTTGGACTTTTATTTGGCTTGAAGGCCTTTCACTTCTCACCCAAGAGGTTCCTTCAGTTCTTCAGGATCGGAGAAGCTTCTTGGAGGAGAAGCGAAAGCCCTTCAGGTAAAAACAAAAGGCAGTCCGGTTTGTCTTTGGGAACTGAAAGAAGCTTCTTGAGTCAGAAGCGAAATGTCTTCAAGCAAAAAGAAAACGAAAAAGCACCTTTGGGACAACTGTGGCCTGGATGACTGAGGCTCTCCACAGACATGGGATCATAGATGGGTGGCAACCAGAGGTGGGATTCAAAAATCCCAACAACTGCCCGGTTGCTGGGTAGGTGTGGCCCACCAGAACTTCCGGGAGGGCTGTTTTTTTGTCTTCCCCATAGTCCGGAGGCTTCGCTCGGGCTTCTTGGAGGGCAAAAACAGACTCCCCCCGGGCTCCAGAGGCCTTCTGGAAGCCGGAAACAGGCCCACTTCCGGGAGGGCCATTTTTCACTCTCTCACAGCCTCCGTGCACATCCAAAATGGGCCACGTGGAGACTCCGGGGTTGGGCGGGGCCAGTCGGTGGGTTCAACTCCCAGTTGGGCAAACCAGATGCCAATTTAACATCCAGTTCGCCTGAACCGGCTGAATCCCACCCCTTCGACGGATTGAAGAGCAAGCCAGTTTCCCGTTGCCGGCATTGTGATCACGTAATTACGGGGTCGCTGAGACGGCCAAGGCACAAACCGCCCTTCCTTCATTCAGTCTGCCCGTAACTTCGCGTAAAAGGCCGCGAGCCCACTAACAGCAACGTGGTTTCTGTCCGGATTCCGGCGGTCGCCCGAATTAAATCGTACGCCTCGAGCCAAGCTTCAAACAACTTCAAAAGATTTATTAGGAGCAACGTGCCGGCATGGCTTGCAGGAAGCCAACTCCGAGACGTGTCATCACTAGGACCCTGTCTTCCCAAATTCCCCTGGACGTATCCTAATTCAGCTTCTCCAATGAAACACCGCCTTCACGGCCTGGGTGTGTCATCACTCACTTTCCCCAATAAAGGAATGTCCCTGTTGTCTTAAGTTACAATCTTTGTGAGATAAACTTGGGGTGTGCTTCCGATTTTATTTGCTGTATGCTCCTTCAGGTCTCTCCCCCACCCACCCAAAAAAATCTCATGGCAACTAGGAAACAGGCATAGGAATGTTTTACAAGTTGACAGTTTCATCGTCCTGCGCCGGGCTGCCCGTCATTAATTTGAACTCTATCCCAACCGTTGTTTTATTGTTATTTTTTGTTCCCTTCCAAAGGGCCCCACCCGGCCTCCTCCCAGCGAGGCAAGGTCCGCTCCGAGCTGAAAACCAAGGAGCAGATCTTCAAGCAAAGGAAAAAGGCGTCCAAGCAACGTTTCCTGCAGGGCGGCGGGATGAAGCGCTTGAAATCTCGTAGCCGGCAACGGGTGCGAGAGATGCGCCAAACGGCCTTTGGTCGCGGAAAGGTCAAGAAAGGCAAGCTGCGGAAACGGATGTAGAGGTCCTGCTTGACGTGGTGGATCCTCACTTTATTTACTGTGTAAACTTTGGGTCTAAAAATAAATAAAAGATTTATTTCAGCATCCAGCCGCATCATTTGGAATGGGTTCTTATCATTGCCACATCCTCTTGGTTTTGGGTTGTTGTTTTTTGGGGGAATTATTTTGGAGTAGAGAGTTATCTTGAATTATGTGCTTAGAGAGATGCAGAGTCCAATTTTGGGGTGGGGGGGGTGTTTGCCTGATCATTTGACATGCTAGAGACTCAAGTGTCCATTAAGCTAAAGTAAGATTAAAAAACAGGTGTGTTCAGAGCAAACCTGTTGACGTCCAAACTTATACCAATAGCATTTAGATTTATATACGGCTTCGTAGTGATTTACAACGGACTCTGGGCGATTTACAGGTCGGTCTCTTGCCCACAATAACCTGGATCCTCGTTTTACCAACCTCGGAAGGATGGAAGGCTGAGTCAACCTTGAGCTGATCAGGATTGAACCGCTGGCAGTGGGCAGAGTTAGCCTGCAATACCGCCTTCTGCGACATCAGGGCTCCTAACCTCCTGTCGCTTTGCAAATTAATTGAATTGAACTGACGAAGCTTCTTGGATGAGAAGCGAAACGTCTTCAAAAGAAAAACCAGCACCTGCCCTGGATGACGGAGGATCCCCATAAATATATTAATGTTTCGACTCTTTAGCAATCCACCACGTTTCTTGATTCGAAAGCAGCTTGTATTTTTTTAAAAACCAAGTCATCCGTTAAAACTATAGCACGATGCCTGAATTTAAACATGACACAGATAGGGATAAATTCCGACTTTTCCACACCTGTTGTCCCAAAGTAAAATTGCTCCCTTCGACATGGGATGAATTTAAGTAATTAAAAATATCACGGGGTCTTCTCCCACAAAACTGCAACCCAGGGGATTCTGCAGCAATGCGGAATAACGTCAAAATGAGAACGTTGGAATGCAAATCCCACCCTTGCCTACTTCGACACTGCTATCAGGACAGTATTTGTGTCAGGAGGCAGTTTGTGTCATTCCGTCATTGTCCAACGGAATTCATACGATTCCACCACCAACGTTGATCTTGCAAGATGAATTCCTAACCTGAAAGTTCTCCTGATGTAGTAATTTCAACGACTATAAGCCCTCCAATCTACGTGATTCCTGCTAAGAGTTTCATGAGTTGATCTGAAGGGCAGCAGTATTGCAGAATATTATTTTTTTGACGTTAATTAAGAAGAAATTGTAGGCTTGTCTAGGCTTAAGATGGCGATTGGGAAGGGAACTGGTGGGGAACTATCCAAGGTGCTGAAAGCATGCTGGATTCTCCCAATTCCATAGTAGAATTGTAGAATTCTTGATTGGCCAAGTGTGATTGGACACCCAAGGAATTTGTCTTTGGTGCAAATGCTCTCAGTGTACATTAAAAAAAAAAAGACACACTGATCAAGAACCATAAGATGCATAAAAAACTCTTCTTGTAAAGTTACATTAACAATTTTGCAAATATGAAGGTACATTTCTCCCTCCATCACCTTCACAGGTTAAGAAACTAGGGAAGGTCTCTCTGAGGTGTTTGCAATGTTGACATTCCTTCTACGGGCTCAGCTGCCTCTTATCTGACTGTTGCCTAGTCTGTAGCTCTTCCTCCAGTCTCCCAAGGCCACTCGTACTTACCGTTAGAAAGTTTAATTTTTCCTAAAATCAGGAGATCCGTAGTGCAAGTTACAGAGGATGTAGTTGGGGCAATACGCACCCTAGATAGTAGTGACCGGCTGGCAGATGTACTGGCCTGAGATGGCACCCTTTTTTCTGGCTGTGAAGATTGTGGAGGCTCTGCTTTGCGGAAATCGGCGAGTATGGCTGTTAAGTCTTCAACGCAAAGCTGCACCTGGAGGGATGGAGAAACAGAGCGGGTGGCTGTTGCTAAAATTGGGAGGAGGAAGTGGTGCGTGCATTACCTTCCATCGTCATCCTCTTTTAACAACCCCGTAATCCCTTGTGGAATGGAGTCTAGGCAACTGAAAGGAGTTGAGTGTTTACTGGCTGGATGCCCTTCCTATTGAGTTTTTTTTCCGGGAGATCTATGTAGGAAAACCACTGCAGTTGGTGATTTAATAACCCGGTGTTAAGTGAATCTGGCTTGAACAGGGGGTTGGACTAGATGACCTCCAACTCTGTTATTCTATTCCCCATGGATTTTAGTTGCTGGAAGGTCACAAAAGGGAATAAGATGACCCTGGGACTGTCATAAATATGAACCAGTTTCCAAGCGTCTGAATTTGGATCCCGAGACCATGGGGATGGCGGCAACGGTTGCTGTGTGTGATAAACGGTCACAAGACCCTTCTTCAAGAGATGTTGCAACTTCAAACGGACACTAAATGGATGGTTGTAAGTCAAGGACTACTCGCACCCGGGTATATTCAAGGCACTTGAGATCAGCCAAAGGTCAATAAAAACTTCACAGCTTGGAGCCGTGGCTAACAGACACACATCTTACATTACTTCCCTTGGCAAGATCCTTTGTCAGCGTATTAATAATTGAAAGACTCCCACGGGGTGAGTTTGCTGAAGCTAACATCGTTTATGGAAACGCTATGAGAGCTGACCGCATCTAGTTGGGCGTCGGTGTCCTCTTGGGGCACATTCATGGGTAGCTTCCTATGCTTGGCCACCATCTGGAAAAGGTTCAGAGCTGCAAGCTTGATCTGCCCCAGTTCCAGGGTTTTGCTTGCAGCCGTGTTCTGGATGCAAATCCAGTTGGACTCCTAGAAAGGGTGAAGCAAGAGAGAGAGAAAAAAAATCTTAGTCCAAACAACTCTTGTTTTATATCACCGCTGGGAATTATGTTCATTCCCAGCCGGTAATGAGTCCCAAACAGTCCCTCGAGATAAGCACCCACCTTTCTCTCCTTTGAATGGCTGCCAACACCTAAAGTGCCAAATGAACTGTAAAAAGGCCAACCGAAGTACGAAGTCGACACAGAGCTTCAAGGATTAATCCAAACAGAATGAATGACTTTGCTTCCTGCAAAGGTTTCTTTACATTTGCCTGTCTTTTATACCGTAGGGGAGGTATAAAAGCCTTACTCCCGAGTCACTCCTTTTTTTCTCAGCTGCTCTCACCTTCTAGCAGCTCTGCGCACATGCACTCTGGGGAACAGCCTCCACCCTGTTCCATGGTGACAGTAGGACAGGGACGGTAGGGACGATTGTGCACTTATGCACGCCCCCTTACAGACCTCTTAGGAATGGAGTGAGGTCCACGGTAGACAGTTTAAGGTTAAAGTTTTGGGGGTTTGAGGATGTAACAACAGAGTCAGGGAGTCCGTTCCAGGCGTTGACCACTCTGTTGCCGAAGTCGTATTTTCTGCAATTGAGCTTTGAGAGGTTTACTATGAGTTTTGTATCTATTGTTTGCCCGTGTGTTATTGGGGTTGAAGCTGAAGTAATCATTGACAGGTAAGACGTTGTAGCGGACAATTTTACGTACTAAGCTTAGATCAGACTGTAGGTGGCGTAGATCTAAGTTGTCTAGGTTCAAAATTTCAAGCCTGGTGGCATAAGGGATTCTATCCTTGTCCTCTCTTCGGGTGCTTTGGAGAATAGCTTGACTCCCTCTTCTTTGTGGGAGCCCCTCAAATATTGGAAGACTGCTATCACGCCCCCTCCTCGTCCTTCTCCTCATTAAACTAGACATACTCAATTCCTGCAACCATTCTTCATTCTTCTCCAGTCCCCTAATCCAGTGGCCCACAACCTTTTTTGAACCAGGGACCGGTTTCACGATTATTTATTCTTCCACGGACCGGTACCTGAGTAACGCGAGACTCCACCGCCATCGGGACAGCTCTTCGTTCGAAGCCGCCCCCCCCTCTTCGACGAAACTAAGGCGCGAGCACCCAAATGCCGCTTTCCAACCGAAAACCCGGAAGCAACCAAAAACCCGGAAGCGCCTTTGAAACAAAATGGCGGCGCCCAAGCTTTGCGGCCCGGTAAAAAATGATCCACGGACCGGTCCCGGTCCGGGGACCGGTGGTTGGGGACCCCGCCCTAATCGTCTTCGTTGCCCTTCTCTGCACTCTTTCTAGCCCACCAGGTCGCAATGGGTCGGACACGACTTCACAACTCAACAACAACAACGATGTCCTGGCCTTACCAATTCAAGGACCTTGGCCTGGGTTTGCTCCAGCTGATCTTGGAGCTCTGCCACCATATTATTTTGCTGCAAAATCCTGTTACTGCTTTCTTCCAGGTACTGTTGCAGGCAGCTGCGTTCCTCCTCCACAGCTTCACGGGCAATTTGTTCTCTCCGGATCAAACTGGCCTGGGTGGCCCTGAGAGTCTCGAACCGACCAATCATCTCTGAGATGTCCTGAAACTGCAAGACGAGAGGGGGGGAAAAAAAAGGGAGTCCCTCTCCAACCTTCCCTCCGGTTCTGCCCCTTCCCCTCCCCTGCCCTCCTCACCTGCTCCGTCTTCCCCAGGACTTCCTGCAGATATTCACAGAAAGGTTTGTGAGCTGCCAGGCGTCCTTGGAGTCTGGTTTTCACCGTCATTAACCGGGCAATTTCCTCTCGGAGGTGTTCCGCTTCCACTTTCTTAAGAGCCATCTGCTGCTTTTCCTGGTCAGCTTTCCGCATCGCTCTGCTCCGTTTGGCGTCGTTCTCCTGCAGGAGAGAAAATGGTCCTGGATCACACCTGAAAGCCTTTCCTCCTTTGGGGTGGATGCCAGCCCCTTCAAATCATATTAAAATTTTAATTTTTTTTTAATATACCCTGTTTTTATGTCTGGAGGCTAAACCATATGATGGATGATTGAGGCAACTACTTTGCGTTGTGGTCCATTGGCAGCCTGCGGAGGTGGCAGCAGAGTCAGACAGTGGGTAGGAACGTGGGCCAGTCTGGGAGTCTGGGGAGGACTTGGATGAGGGTCCTGCGTCCGACACAGAGATGGGGCCAGGACCATCTGAGAGCAGGGTGCTGACTCTGGAGCCTCCAAGAATCTGACAGCAGCGAGGCAGAGGAACAAAGGGAGCCTGTTCCCAGTGCGTGCATGCGCAGAGCTGC